AGTAGTAGCAGCAGTAGTAGTAGTAGTAGTAGCAGCAGCAGCAGCAGGAGTAGTAGCAGTAGTCGTCGTCGTCGTCGTCGTCGTCGTAGTAGTAGTAGTAGTAGTAGTAGTAGTGGTAGTAGTAGTAGCAGCAGTGACAATATCAATAGTAATACTAATTGCAGTTGTACTCGTAGGAATAGTCACAGCAGTAGCACCAAAGCAACAAAAGACAGTAGCCGTGACAAATTCTGTGTTTTGCAAACCGCCCAGACTTTTCAAACACAGTGGCCGCCAGGTGAGGCGGGCGAAATTGTGGAAGATGCGGCTGCACCTCTTGAGCGGACCAGGGTCAAGGTCTCGAGGTTCATGGTATAGGATTTAGGGCTTTCGGCTTCAGGATTGTGGACATCATGTCCCTGCGAACTCCGAATCCTACATGGTTGCCATGGTTGCTTTCTCGAAGATACCAGCCTGTGAGTTCAGCTGTAGTTGCAGTGGCTTAAGGATCAGCTCGGGGCTTCCGACCTTAAGCTCAGAATCCGTCCTTCTGATTTGCACTCTTTCGGGTGACCCTGTGTTTGCACTTAAGAGCTTAAGGTTTTGGGCTTGCGTGTTCAGGATCATCAGCGGCAGCACCACCGAACCAACAAAACTTCTGTGACGGCTACCCTCCGACCCCACTGCGGCTTGCTGTCTGTGGCAATGATGAGCAAGACTCTCTGGCTCTGGGCCGCCAGTGCAGTGTTTCAAGGTTTTTCAAAGCACACTGCAGGGTCCTTCCAATTCGGGAGGTCCTGAAGCGGCCTGAAGAAGCCAAACCTTAACTCCCCCGGGTTCTTGGTAAGGAATTGGATTAAAAATTACCACAGGAATAGGGGATCTATAGGAATAATATGGTTTCCTCATTATGGCAACTTAAATCAAACTCCCCTACGAGAATCCAGTTTCGCATGGGGAGTGCTAAATCCACTGGTTGCTGCCTTGTGGCTGTGGCTTCTAGGACTACTGCTGATCACTCGCAAGCTGTTGCGACGTGCTTCACACGTGCCGACATCATAATCTTATCTGCCTTGCGCCAAGACCTGCTCGCAACCAAATGCTTCGTGTCATTGCTGCTGCTGTCGTTAGCATTTTCTACCCTAAACCCTAAACCCTAAACGCTCTTGCCCTTACAAATCTCATCAGAGCAGTAGTGCCAGCTCCAGTATGATCATAAAAAAGTGCTATGAGCATGATTTCGCTACAGTGTAGTGTTCGTGCCACTTCGAACATGTGCAGCAAAGATGATCCTGCTGAAGCCATTGTCTGAAAATAAACTGATAGCAACTGCTGCCATAATCACTGAAGCAACGATTCTCTCCTATCCACACATATCCTTGTAGAAGCCTTATATCACCGATATAGAAAGCCTTTGAACCATTCTCGAAAGCCGTATGGAACCTTCATACAACTCTTGTCCAAACAGATATTACCGTGACTACTTGGACGCGAAGCCCAGCTTTCACAGTTGCGGTGCCTCCGTGTCGTCGCATCTGGCAACGCGCCAGTTTCTTTGGTCCGTGTCACCTTGGGTTAGGATTTAGAGTTTGAAGGTTTTGGAGTTTGGGGTTGTAGGATTGTGGGCTTAGCATGTCAGCATTTAGAGTCTAGCGTTTCAGGGTTTAGCGTTCTAGTGTTTTAGAGTCTAGGGTTTAGGGTTTCGGTTTATGGCCTAGGTTAAGGCCCGATGGGGCGTTGAGGGTGTGAGGTCTAGGGTTCAAGGCTTCAGGGTTGCAGGGTGCAGCGTGAAGGCTTAGGGTGTAGGTACTACCCAAGGTTTAGGGTTTAGGGTTTCGGGGTTTAGAAGGTTTCGGCACAAGGACCTTCCCGTATGTGGACAAGCGCCTTGGCCCTACTTTGCAACCTTCTCATGGCCACCAGAAATCTTTGAACAACAATGAACCCACACCAAAATCCTGCCGCAACCCTATCAGAAGACAATCTGTCCAAACCAGCATCACATGTCTCCAGACCCGCTCTAACTACGGTAATGTAGGAACCTGATTCAGAAATCTTGGATCTTTACTAGGGTTCTTTATATGAGCCCCACAATTTTGGGGTTGCAGGACCAGGGTTTCTCAATCAGGTTCCTACATTATCCATGACCCTTTCAAGCAGGGTTTAGGGTTTAGGGTTTAGGGTTTAGGGTTTAGGGTTTAGGGTTTAGGGTTTAGGGTTTAGAAAAATCCTCAAAGAGGGCCCGGCCCTTCGTGAGGAGCGCGGCAGTCGCCGAGGCTGCGGCAAGTCCAGCCAGACCTGGCTGCGCAAAAACTGCCCTAGCACTCCCTAAACCCTAAGCCCCTAATCCTTATACCCTAAACCCTACAGCTTAGGGCTAGGCTGGCCCTTTAAAGTAATTGAATAATTTGCTCGTAAATAAGATCCTCTTCGGCCCAATACAGTAAGCACAGAAGTACAAATATAAAATGTCTCAAAAGGTCTACCCAGAGGATCATATGCTGATGAAGGTCGCTTTAGGATTTGAGGTTTTTGGTTTAGGGCTTGGGACTAGGGTGAACTATACCAGCAACATTGGATCACCCAAATCAGAGCCGAAAGCCAGCTGGGCTTTAAGGTTTGCTGTAAGCGGTTTCCCCAAACGCTACATCCTGAAAATACATCCTGAAAACCCTCAGGCGTAGAACTTCGAAGCCCAACTTCCCAGCGCTCAAATCAACCCTAAACCCTCAACCCTAAACCCTAAACACTAAAGTCGAGCCAATGTTTGTTCGAGGCTGTGATGTCGGGATTTCCGGGCTTCCCAGCCGTCCACGGAAGCTCCCGGTCTTGCTTTGGGTCTTAGGGTTCAGGGTTGTTGTCTTTGGGTTTGGGCTTAGGATTTAGGGTTTAGGGTGGTCTTAAAAAGGCTTAAGGGTAATGTACTGGCTCATGAACTTCGCCCGGGAATAAGCGTGGGTTGAGGCTCGCAACTACTAGGAAAAGGATCTGAATATAAAGGCCTTAAGGCTGATCTTAGTACTGAGGGGTCCACATAATGGGAATGAATTTTGGCTGAGTTTTGTGGGGCCATCGAGTTTAAAGCCCGGACAGTGGCAAGCTGCTCTTATATGATATAGGACAAACAATTGATAAGGTTTCAGCACGTGCGGTACTACGATGGTAGTACGGAGCCCTGCCGGGTGGGTTTTCCCCTTCTTCAATATATTCGCTGCCTTCATTAACTTTACCTTCACTTCTGCCCTGCCGGCCTTACCAGAAGGATTGCAACAAGGATCCTCACGGAAAGCCTACAACGGCTTTCAATCAAATTCCCTGCTTTGATAAGCAGTATCCCTACACCCTAAACCTTAAATCCTAAACCCTACATCGTAAACCCTAGCCCACCTCTCAGCGAAAAGTCGCTGTGGCCCTGGGCACGCAGCGCTGCATGCCATGGGCACGCTCGAAAGGCTCTCATTGGACCTCTAGGCCAATTAAGGCACGCTTGAAAACCCTTAAACTCCAAGTCCTGAGACCAAAAAACCATGGTGTCTACTTGATAACGAAAAGCCCCTTTCTCTTAAAGCTCCGTCTCTTCCGCACGTCGTGAGGCACCAATTCAAAGTGCCCAACACGCCCATCAACCTGTTGGACAAGCATGTCAAACCCATCACGCTCATGATCTCCAACATCGGATCTCCATGATCTCGTCTCTTCTTTGTCTACTGCTGGAGCCTTCAGAAACCATGCAACTCCAACCACCACTGCGCCACTGTCACCGTCACGCACGCCGCCAACTATAGCTGCCTTGAACCTACAACCCATTTTTTGCACTGTAGAAGAGAACAAGTTCAGGAGCTAGGAGGGTTCAGGGTCTTGGGAATAGGATTATTGGTTCGAGGCTTTGGGGTTTAGGATTATTCGTTTGGAGTGTTCTGCAGGTGTTTGAGCTGTGGCGTCTCGGGTGCTGTGGGTTCGTTCGTTGGGCATGAAAGCACAGAACATCGACAACAGTAACACGCTGCATACGGGCGGGGACTCGCCAAGACCTCCAGCAGGCACGCAGCTTCACTCAGGAAAGACAATTAACTAAAGCCGAACGCCGAGACATCGTGGCAGCTCCGGAAACAACTTTGGATTTGAAGTGTTGGAATTTGCTTTTCAGCGTCGACGTAACAAGCTTTCGGCCCGGGGCCAATAACCCTCTTCGTAAAGCAAGTGAGCTATGGATGCCCCTCCCAAATCTCCAAGAGAGTGCAAATCCTTCCGGTCTCCACTCCGGAGAACTCGGCCACATTATCGGCAGCGACATCCAAAGGAGTTTCTCCAAAGGCTGACTCTGCACAAATGTTAGCACTCCGAGACAGGAGCAATTTCACACAATCCAAGTGTCCGCTGAAGGCTGCATAATGCAGGGGCGTCTCATTGATGTGATCCTGTGCGTTAGGATCTGCAGCCAAGTTTAGCAAAGCCTCCAGCATTTCAACATGACCACCAGCTGCAGCCACATGTGTCGCCTTTTCTCCTAGGCTGCCTCCAAGTGAGCTGCTGTTGATTACCAGACCAGATGAAGCACAAACTTGCAGAATCTGCGCCAGATCTTCAGGCCTGCCACGTGCAGCAGCATCACGAAGCACGGGCCCTACTGCAATACGACGAAGTCTTTGATGGAAACGATTGAAACCACCCTTCGCAGAGCCAAGGACACCGATGATATAATCAACGTCTTTCTGACGGTCAGCCTTGCTCTGACTGGCATCCAAGTACAAGAGTTGATTTGCAATTCCCACATCGAAGCTTCCCAACGCCCATGAGCCATCCGGAAAGGCAACGCTGCACGCCACAGCCCCCATGGAACTTACAAAATCAATGCTCTTTGCAGATGTTCGAGTGACGTGGAGCGCGTGCATAAACCAAGCACGGTTGATCTCTACCCCATGCCCTGGCCAAAGAAAAGCCCGGCCATCCGAATCGCGATTCTTGCGAAAGCCGGCTCCTTCCTTAAGCGCCTCTACTTGGCAGGCAACGTTGCCGCATCGAGCGCAAAGAACATCCAGCCAGATGGCAGAGAGATCGTTTAATTGCCTGGCTTCTGCAAACCATTCAATCCCTGCTTCAAGGTCAGAAAACCTCCCATTCCACATGTGCTCAATAACATACTTTGCACAAGTTGGACCAGCATTCACTGTTTCTGCATACGAAGTATCAGAATAGCGCTTCTCCAGTATCTCATGGACCACAGTTCGGGTAGTAACAGTGCCCCAGTCCAAGTGGGTGCCATCCTGGATCTCCAGCCGCAAGCTCTTGAAAAAGGCACGCACGTGGCCCAGCAGCACACCGCGCTGCTCAATAGGGATAGGCACAAACGTACACGGACGACCACTGCGAATGGTTTCAGTTGCACTTGCAGCGATTTTGACCTTGTCACGCACAAGCTGATTCAGTTTGGAAAATGCATCTGCATGCTGCTTGAAGAGCACTGTCTCATGTTTGTACTCTGGCTTGCCATCGGCACGTGTCCTGCTGTTTGCCTGGCCGTGGCAGGACAAAGGGGTCCACCATGGTTGATGATGATCGTCTTCAAGGACCTTTCTCCAGCCATTCTCGAAGACCAGGTTGCCTTTATCATCCTTCAAGAGTCCATCCTTTTCTTTTGCGGGATGTGCCAAGTAGTTGAGGATCTGTCGTCGATCGCTAGGCTGCGAAGCTTCGCACGAAGTGACATCCCAACAAGCGATGGCTTCAACCAAAGGCCCAGAGGTGACGCGTGTTGATCCAATGCGACCGCTTGGAGTGTAGACCTGCAAATCCTTTCGCAGCTTCTCTGTAAAATGGAGCTCGAGACCACACCAAATTCGAGTCAGCGAATGAGCATCCCTGTCCACGACTAAAACAGTACCCTTGGCCAATGAGATCGCATGGAAGAAGGGACTCTCTTCCAGAGTGGGGCCAAAATGCTCTCCAAACTGGGAGTTTGCAAAAGTACAAACCCAAATCCTCGCGGCCGAACTCCATCCTCTATCCAAGAGAAGGTTATCTACTACCGCCATGAAGTCTCGAAAACGACCAGCCCATGAGTGACTAACAAGAATCTCAGGCGGCTGGGGTCCGGAAGCCACTAATTCCACCCAGGATCGACGCGGTTGCCCTTCAAGCTTGCACTTTGCGTGGAGATGTGTAATGACTGGTACCAGGACCAGCTCACTGATGTGGTATTGATTCAGTCTGTGCCAATCCACGGCCCAGCCATCCTTCTTAAGTTGCCCCGTCTTGCAGAGTCGTTGCAAAAACAGCTTCAAATCCCGAAGCTGCTGCACGGTGATTCCCCGATCTTCGGGCCTATTGATGGTGGTAGGGCTGTCTGGCCATGGCACCGGCATTTTGGTACTGAGCTAACTTCTTCAAGACATCTTCAAGACGGACAAGAAGAATCTGATGAGTCATGCCAGCATCGTGTGAATACAAGTTTCGTGTCATACGTGTATAATTTTGGTATCATATGAGAGACAAGTGGGTACGACACGAATATCACGCGACTATCGTTGGGTATAACGTGAGTATCATATCGTATCATGTCATGAGAGTACCATGAGAAATACGGTATGGTCATGACTGTACAAAAATATGATTGAGCCAAGCTTTGCGGCTAAGAGACCCACTGCAGCATGGGATCCGACTCATGTCACTCTCATGGGAACCCAACCATTTCCCACTCATCCTTCCATCGAAGAATCCCAAAGTACTTGATGGCTGAGGCAGATGAATGTTTATGCCTCAGCTGAGCATCAAATTTTGCGCTCCCCACGAGACTCTATTGACTGTAGGCCCAAGGCCACCATAACAAATGCTACTGGTATTACTGCTATTTGCTGCAGCCACATACCAGCGCTTGGCGTGACTGGCCATTGTGTGCTAAGGCCAAGCAAGCAGAAGCTGGCTAAGACGTGCATTCCGAGACGCATGCGTATTATCGGAAGCGAAGCCACAAAAGCCTACAGTGCGAAGAGGTAACCAAGCCTTATGCACTAAGCACGTCATTCCATGGCATTGTGAACCCAGAAGCCCCGAAACCCCAATGTTCCCTGAACCACATCCCAAACCCGACTAAGCGATGAGACCAAAAGCATCTCCATGCCCGAAACCCGAAACCCTGCCCTGAACTGTCGCGCTACGTCTGGAAGTAGAATGCACTTCAGCCTTCTTGAGGATTTCATGGGGCAGGCCGCTGCATTGCGTAGCGTACGGTTTTGGGATAATGTAGGGGCCTCAATAATTAGAAGAGGGTTTGGGGTATATTATACTATAACTATCATAAGGAACCCCCAAAAAAAACCCTATTCCCCTATTCCAATTATTAAGGCCCCTACATAGATTAGCTTGTTAGGCTGCGCCGCACTCTCTGGGAACCTTAGGGTCTGATAACTTGGGTAGAACCCACCCCCCATACGCGGGGGTGGTAGGCCTCAAGAACTAGAATAGGGCTTGGGGGTATTTATTAGACTAAAGCTATCATCATAAACCCTAAACCCTAAACCCTAAACCCTAAACCCTAAACCCTAAACCCTAAACCCTAAACCCTAAGGCCGGATGGTTTTGCTCACAGAACTCGGCGGGATGGAACTTCGTGTCCCGCTATTCCTGGTGTCCGGCTGGCGCCGGTTCACCGCTCCACCAGAGTCTCCAGCGTCTTCGTTTAGGGTTTAGGGTTTAGGGTTTAGGGTTTAGGGTTTAGGGTTTAGGGCTTCCGTGGAGTGAGATCTTACCCCGGAACCCTCAAACCCAAAACCCCACACCCTAAACTCACCCTGAACCCCAAACCCTAAACCCCAAACCCTAAACCCTAAACTCTAAACCTTACAGCCTTTAAAGGGATCCTCCAGCAAGGAAACTTTGGAGTTTCTGGTCCCTTCTCCGACAGCTTCGACATCTTGGCGGCTTCAGGGGTTTTCCCGGATAGATGTAGGGCTCAGGGCGCTGGGGTTTGGGGTGTCGGGTCTAGGGTTTAGGGCTTAGGGCTTAGGGTTGAGGATCTCGGGATTTGGGCTTAGGGTTGAGGATCTCGAGCTTAGGGTTTGGGGTCTGGGGTTTCGGGCTTGGGTCGTTGGGTCGGGGGTTAAGAACAACGGTCTAGCGTTTGGGACCTCGGTGTAGGCACTGAGTCTGAGGCCTTCGGTAGGGGTAACAGAAGCGAGCACCACGTCCGCTCCAATACTTAAAGGATCGTGGGACTTAGTAAGTAAGGTTATAAGTCCCTTAATTGGGGTTATAAGTGTAGTTACCCTAATTATAACCCTACTTACTAAGTCCCATGATCCGTTTAGTAGCAATACTCAAATCTGATCATCATAGTGCACGCGGGCTAAAGAAGGCTTCTACTAGATATTACGCCAAATCTTGCTGACGATGATACGACTATTGCTTGCCCATCACCAGCAAAAAAACAGATGCAAACAGCCAAGAAAAAATCTCCTGCAGCTGCACTCGGTCGGGAAGGACTGCACGAGAGGGCCGCGTTGCGCTCGATTCCCGAAGCCCGACCGTACACCCGAGACCTTAGATCCTAAGACCCGATAAATCCGACTCCAAAGCTTTCAAGACATGAGACCCTCAAGCGAGCGGCCCTGCACCCAGCTCTAAGCGTGCACTTTGTGAGCAAGTCCTGCAAAGGAACTCTCCAGTCTCTAGCGATGCTATAGCGTGTTCTGCGTCATTCGAACTTAGGGCCTTTGCTTCCAGGTTTAGGTATTCCTGCTGAGGCTTGAGCTTTTAAGGTCTTGCTCTTCAGTCTGAGAGTCGACTTGAGGGCTTAGGAGTTGGCCTCGTCTTGCTCAAGCGGCTTGCGCCATTCTGTGCTTCTTTTTGAAATCGCAGATCCCGGCTCGGTTCGAGACTGCGCACGCTGCGTAGTTGCCGGTTTGGAAGTCCCTTCAAATTGAGCGCATCTTTGTATATTCTAGATAAGGGGCTCAGGGATGAAAAGGTCTGCATACATAGAGGGCCCTGTTGGGGCTTCGTACAGCGATGCTGGGAAAGAGCGCGAGCACGCTTCAGGCGACATCTGGCAGTATGAGTCTACTGGCATTGGAAACATAAAAGCCCTACGTAAACTGTCCCCATATAAGGTCCTCAAGATCAGAATAGGGCTTTTGGGGTACATTATATACAAGTACAACCAGGAGCCCTGGGGCCCTGAGGAATACAGCATCTGTTTTCAAGGCTGAAAATTTGAAAGACTCCCATGTCAGGGTATTGCCTCGCTCCCCGGCCATGAGGCACATGGAGGCAGCACCCTTCTGGCCAGCCACGAACACGGGCTCGTGGTGGGGTCAAGGGCAACATCTTACCCAGATCTGCCAATGTGCCTAATATAGATTAGAAGCTAGTCTCAATATTTACTTAATCCAATATGCCTAATATAGATTAGAAGCTAGTCTCAATATTTTGCTCAATCAAGGTATGTTGGAAGATCTGAGAAAAGCGCAGCATGATCTGCAGTGGCGCTTGCGAGTTTGCCAGCAAGCTGCTGAAAGAAGCTACGGAACAAAGAGCACACCTCGACAGGGTTGGGAAAAAACAGTGGGTCCCCGGGGGCCGCAACCGCTCCCAAGTGGTGCGCCCAGGGATCAAAACTGTCATCCTACCCGGGCCTTCGACATCAGAAACTTAAGCTCAAATTTATGTGTATGTGTATATATATATATATACCTTAATAGTAGTGGCGCCGAGAACGACTCCAGAAACTAAAAACCTCCACATCCTAGACCCTCTGAACCCCTGCGCCCGGGAGGAGATGCCGAAAGCTTTGAGATCGTCAGCTTGGAGCTCTAGTGGCCTTATACAACAGGGTTTCGAGGTATATGATATATACTGTAAGTATATGCGTGTAGGCTGAGGAATACTGCTAGTCCCTATCTGGACTCCAGGTTAAGGTTTTGGGTTTCGGGGCCCTAAACCCAAAACCCTCAGACCCTAAACCCTCAACCCCTAAACCCTCAACCCCTAAACCCCCAGACCCGAAACCCTCAACCCCTAAACCCTCAACCCCGAAACCCCCAGACCCTAAACCCTCAACNNTTTAGGCTTTAGGGCCTTCAGGGTTTAGGGTTTAGGGTTTAGCTTTGGGGGGTGAGGGAGAGTCGATGCTGTGGACTTGAAATTCTCTTCACGCATAAGCCTCAACTTGCACCCGAACCAGGCATGGGAATGCTAGCCGCATCGAACAAGATGCAGTCAAAACTTAAAACCTATCCATGGCGCTGGTGTCCCCTATCACAAGGTTTTTTGCAGAACGGAACAGAATGGAATAGCCCGATGTACAAAGTCGGTTGAGCATGAGAAGCAACGTCTGTAAGATTAACCATGCAGAAGCCTGTCTGTTCTAGCTAGTTTAGGAGTTTAGTGTCATGCAAACGATGCAGCATGTCAAGCTTGCGCGCGATGCTGCAGAGGTGATGCACAAAACGATACCACGTAGCGTAGCAGAATATGGCACCATATCACGCGGATAGACTGCTAGGGTGTGGAGTTTAGGGTTTAGGGCTTAAGGGACCTTCAAGGCCTGAACCCAAAGAGCCCCAAACTGGCGAGGATGAACCGCTTTGGCTGCGACAAGCGCTGACTTCGCTACAGTCCGGATCGGCGCTCCAGGGAAACTCTGGTCAAGTGGGCTTCTAGGAGTTTCGGCATGCGGTCACCTAACTCTGAAGTTCATGTCAGGAGCACGTTGTCATAACTTGTAGTGCCTGAGCCCGTGTGCACATGGCACCGGCTCTGCAGTCTTGACCGGTACTGTGGCTCAATGGCTGTGCCCGTAATCCTCTGCGCCCGAAGCCAGCACTTCAAAAGCCAGTAGCATGCCGCTAACTGTCGTCAACACTGGCGGCAGCTACTTCAATCAGCCGTCTATAGACTGGGGAGCGAGCTAGAGCGTATGAACCCCACCGGAAAATCATCGTGGGGTGACAAGAAAACTTTGGCAAATAACAGGAGCGGAATACCTCGCCGCTGCATCCAGAGGGCATGTTTTTGTACTCTCTGGAAGCCTTGCGGGGATGCCCCACACCTGCAAGGACGACCAGCCCAATTTTGCCGTCGATCACAGCACTGCTACGAGGCTTCGATTCTTGAGATATAGGATATAGGGGTCTTAATAATCAGAATAGGTTGTTGGGGGGCTGTTGGTAACAACTCCGACGCTGCATTACGATTCTGATTTTCGGGTCCCGGAGTTCAGGGTGCCAGCCCCATACTACAGCATCCTCACGAAAGAGTAGCATTCCTTCATGGTCCTGGTGGCCCGTCTATGTCGCATCACATTTGGTAAATGAACTTTGTCACTCTGCTCTACCCGTTCTGGGCTGTGTCCGATACTTCATTGGGC